ATCGCGTGTGAAACAGAGCACCTCACAAAAAAGCGGATAAATTTTAGAATATTAACTCAAATCCAAATCCGCGAAGTGGTACATCTAGGTCTTTGGCTTAGCTAAAACTCCATAAAATCTTCTTACCAAAAAGGCGACTTGATAGATCAAACCTCTGCTCTACCACGATGTATCTGATCTGTGTGCAACTCCTTGAACAAGCTTTTTTCTCTCTTCGAGCCACAATCAGCCTCTCTCTTTCTTTCCTTAAGGTGGCCACAAAAATTATGAGAAAGAAAAAAAAGCATCTGCGATTTTTAGGGTATAAATAGACTTAGGTTTATTTTTGATCCACTTAAATTAAATCAGGAGTTAGAATTACTATAATTAATTAATTTTTCCTTTGGTGGAATAATAAATAGACCAGCTTATTAATCCAACTGAAATTAAATCGACTCTTCTCCAACTTCCGACATTAAACTCAAATATCCGTTTTTCAGAACACGGACGTTACAATAATTTTATTTAGAAGCCGCTTGAGTGACTAAAACTTTTAAGAGACACTGGTGCCGCCAAAAAAAAAAGTAACCATCCATTTTTTTTTTTCTATTGTTAGTTGCTGACTCTTGCCCAAAGACAGAAAAGATAAGAAAATCCTTAATTTGTTATTCTTGGTTTTTCCTATTAAACAAATATCTCGACCTATCCACGGCTAGTAGCTTGATTTTTGTATTGGAGAACTTCAAAAGGAAGAGTTTCTCAAGATCAAGAGTTCGGATCTCAGCAGTGGGAACATGATTAATTTAGGCTGTATTTGTTTCTAGTTCAAAATACTTATGTATCAAAACCCCAAAAATTTTGGTTTACCAAAACTAAAATCTGAATTATAGAACTGCGTTATTGTCTATTTGGCACCACATAAGAACTTGAGGTAACAAACTTAACATTTTCTTGATTACCACTACAAGAAAACTGTCCACTTTCTAACATGAATTCAGTCAGAAATTGGTCAAAATTACAACCATGAATAAAATAAAGAAATTATCCAAAAAAAAAATTAAATAAAAAAAGATATATAATAACACATACTTGCATTACATATAGGTCTTCATAATTATCGACACCCAAAGAATCAACACATCATTCTTATTTGTATAAATAAATTCTCAAATAGAAAAGAAAATTAATCAAGGTGACATCTTGGACCGAGAGGTTACTTTGGATGAGGAACACTTAACGGAAACAAGAGGCTGATAATTTACAAACCGGCTTGGAGCTGATCTTGGTCGGAACCCTTTAGGCATACAACTCTTTACATGTGTCCCATGGAAAATCTGATTCCTCGGATTCATTTTGACCGTGTCTTCGACTGATAAAGGCATCATCGACGAGCTTGGAACACTCTCAACTGGTATTAAACGCCCTCCCGCGTACAAGAATATAAGGTTTAGAGTGATGATGACAATATGCAATCTTCTGTTGAACATTGGGACGTTTTATGTTGAAGTGATTATTTTTTTTGTTTCTTGAGAGCGTTTTGGTATGATAATGTGAGGGTTATATAAGTGGGAGGAGATATACATTGGTTTAGGGTTAAGGTTCATAAATGGGCTCGTGAGTGATGGCTGGAAACAAAAGAGAGGAGAGTAAGTAGGAGAGGACAGAGGCAAAATGGCTGGAAAATTGTATTAATCAAAATACGATTTTATATGTGTGATAGAGAAACAAAAAAGTGTTGATGGGGTCGGGAAGATCAGAAAGAGGTAGGGAAGTCCGTGAGTTTCTGATATTACAATCAAAGATCAAACATTTGTCTTTGCATTTATGAATTATGACACACTCACACGCACTTGTCTATATTTCAAATTATGGTTTCTCTTGTTTTAAAATGGTTTTAAGATTGGCTATGATTTATAAAAAAGAATAGATAAATTATTATGTACACGGTTGCATGGTTTTGCTGGACTAGCTTGAAACTGTTGGATTTTACTTTCTTTTGGATAACCGAAACTCGATGAATCTGTCTTAACCATTTTTATTTGACAAAAAGAAGAAGTTTGAAATGAAAACATATCTAATTATGAATCCATTCGTGTAGGATTTAGACCTTATCATGTGGAATTTTCTATTATACTACAGTTTCTAAATAGTTTACAACTTCTATTCATAAAGATAATATCTTAATTTTGTCTCCCATCATTAATAATAATATAATATTTTATCATATAAACTAGATTTTAACCCGCGGTACACCGCGGGATGATTTAATTTTAAAGTTAGTATAAAAATATTTTGTAAATTGTATCTCCTTATAACATATTTATTTATATTATAGTTTACAATTGTTATTAAGTAACGGTATACCACGAGTCCACGAGATAATTATTAATAAACTGAGGATTTAACCCGTATTAAAGCGGTATATAAATATTGATTCAAATTCGTCCGCCATATAAATCATTTCCGAAATATAACCCGTTCCGTAATTTCTTAACCCGTCCTGTGATTTGTATTAAAAAAAAAAGGATTAAATCCGTATTGAAGCGGCGGATTAATGATATTTTAATCTTTTTATTATTGTTGATTCAAAAACCCGTCCCGCCAAACCCATCCCGCCAAAAAACTCATTTATTTTATTAATGTTCTTATTTATGATATGATTCTGAATCATTGTCTAAATATTTTAATCGATGTAGAACGTTGAACACACATTTTCGTCAATTGGATAATATATGTCCGTTTTTAAAATTTCGAATCACAGTATATGCAGAAAAAAAAATTGATTTTTATTTTATTTTATGTATTATATGATGATTCAAAACAGTTAAAAACAAATCAAACAAAGATGATAGGAGAAACATAATTATAAATCTTAATCAAATCTTCTAAAAATCTAAATTATTAAATATGGAATATCCGGTGTATGAGTTGGGTTAAATATAACCCGACCCAACAAATTTTTTGTGAAGGAATTTTTAAAATGGGTCGGGTATCCGATATACCCGAAAGCTTTTTTACCCACCCGTCACAAAAAGTGCTGCGATTATACTAGTATAGATCTTAATCAAATCTTCTAAAAATCTAAATTATTAAATATGGAATATCCGGTGTATGAGTTGGGTTAAATATAACCCGACCCAACAAATTTTTTGTGAAGGAATTTTTAAAATGGGTCGGGTATCCGATATACCCGAAAGCTTTTTTACCCACCCGTCACAAAAAGTGCTGCGATTATACTAGTATAGATAGTTCCCATCATTTTTTTTGGTTAATGAACTAAAGTGGTCAACTTATATTTGGATATAAAAATAATGACCTTAATAATTTATATACACACACATGTGGTCCAGAGGTTATAAAAACCCTCCCTCTATATATCATGATATATGTGATCAACATTATATACACAAGATTGCCATCATGTATTAAAGCATAAACAATCCACAAACTATAACTAAAAACATATAAGATCGATCAAGTCTTAGTTATATCAATCATAAATAAAAAATTTAAGCGTCTATTTTGAGAGGAGAAATCTCCCACATCATGAAGAAAAATCACATTAAAAATAAAATTTAATGAGCCAATGAACTCATATATTTTTCTCTTTAGTTTCTTTTGATAGAAGAAAATTATAATACACATAACAAATTTAAAAATAATATTAATGAAATACTAGAAATTGTAACATTTGAAAAATATACCAAAAAAACTTGAAAAAAGATTCATCAGATATCTAGGGTCCCGCGTTTAGATAGTGTTAAGTTAGTCGGTCTTTGATCGTAAATTCGTAATGTTGAAACTTAAGAATGAATAGTATGACCAAGATAAAGAAAAAAAGAATCTCTAGCCAAGAGAAAGATAAAGGAAAGAAGAGCCTGAAAGTATAAAAGAAAACTCGACCTAGAACTAGTTATGTGTTGGTCGAGGTCTTACACATTCTTCCAAATACTCTCCAACGAAAAAACCAACAAATAAAATTAGTGACAAAAATTATGCTGAAAAAGACCTGAGATCTTGTCACACAGCACGACATCAAAGTTCTCTTGACTCCGAGCAGATAACGACTCTCGTTTTTTTAAAAGAAATCGCTATCTTATTTTTCCGGCAATCTGAGAGAAATGAGTTATCATTGTCACCACCGCCATCGTTCATAGAAACCCCAAAAATAGCTACATATTGTAACAAAAATGCCTAAAATATATATATAAAAAATCCGACATGAAGCCAAAAAATATAACAAAAAAATGCAACCGGTGTTGCGACTTGCGACTATTGAGATACCACAGATAAGAAGATGAAGCTGGAGGAAACCAAAACCCTTAATTACCACATAAAGGTAGCCAAGAAAAACATGCATATATCATTTGAAACCTGATATTATGGATTTACAAAATTAATACAGAATCTAAGAGATATATTTCCCTAAATTAAATATTAAAAAAGATTTTCCAAAAATACTTAAAATGTTTTATGTTATTTTAAATTGGTATTAAGAATTAAGTATTTTAGTGGTATACCCATATATTAAATTCATATAGTAAATTTTCAAGTAAGAACAAAATACATACATAATTAATTTTCTAAATTAATTGTATTTAAATTTTACATAATTGTTACCACAATACCACTCAATCTCATATATTGGAGTTAAAATGAAAAGAAGAACAAAAAAACAACAAACAAAAATCTAAGAAAATTGGTAGTAGTAAACAAAACTAAAACTCTTATTTTATTGGGAAATAAAAAGAAAAGTTAAAGAGTAAAATTGTTTCCGTAAGAAGAAAAAAATGTTTTCAGAGGAAAGAAAATGTTTTCTCAGGATAGCAAAATTTGATGAGCCAATAAGCAAAACAAAAGCTGATGCTTGTCGCAACTGTGTTCGTCAAGAATCTCAGCACGAACCCAATCTTCTTCTCTCCAAGCTCTATTAATCAATCAATCATTCATTCATTCTAGGTTAAGTAAAAACAGAGTAAACCCTTTTTTCTCTCTTTCTCTGCCTTTCTCAATTTCGTTTCGTCTCCTTCCTTGTTCCAATTTCTGTTTGATTTTATACGAAATTTCCGTTGATATCGAAGAAATATCGAATACCCATGATTCAAAATTTCATCTTTTAGGCGACTGATTCGTCAATTTTCGATTTTCCGGTGATTTCTAGGGTTTTCTGTGAGTTTGGTGTTCTTGTGTTATCATTTGATTGGTCATTACTGATGATTTTTCAGGTTTTGGTTTAAGGATTTTTGTAGACTTTCGTTGCTGCTACGTTTTTGAAAGGGTAATTTGAAGGGCTTAGCTTCAAAAAGGTGAGAATTTTAACTCCAGATTCTGATATTGTGTTCATTGTTATGTACCTTTAAGCTCTGTAGTTGTGTTTTAAATTTGTCCAATTTGGTTGCTAAGTGTGTGTGTTCATCAGATTGGGTCATTATAGTTCTTTCATTCTCTATTGATTGATATCTCCAGTTGATTTGTTGGGATTTTATTCTCTGGGTTTAGGATTTAGAGTCCTCAAATTTTGGTTTCTCTTTAAGTATTGAGTGCCTGTTTTCTTCAAAATCACTTGATAGGAAGAACATGGAATTTGGTAAGCTGAATAACTTCTTCGGGCTTAGTTTCTCGTGCAAGGAAATTCTTCATGGTTCTGTCTTGGAAATGTATGGAACCTTGAAGCTTGATAGATGGGGTTTTCTTATAGGTTTAAAGGGTCTTTAGCTGAGATATCATTCCTATGATGTGTGTTGGTACATTAGTAAGATAAAACCGTGCAATGAGTTCATTAATGGTTAAATCCTATATATTATCTGTTTAGTGTACATAGAGAAGAATTAGCTGTGGAATTGGAATGTGTTCCAACTTGTCTCTGTTGTGATAATGATCAATATGTTTTCAATTCTAAGTTTCTAACTCTTGTGGTCCATTGATTCTTGAATCCTTTGTCCAGGTTAGTACTTTCTTCGAAGAAGGGACGGTTAGAATATGCCAAATACATTCTCTGGTTCAACTTTATTAAAACTGTCTGCATCTTTGGATCCTTAGATTTGTCTTCCGGTTCAGGAATTATTTGACTATAGATACCGATTTGACAGAAGTCTTACATTTCACACAAATAAGAGTTTGCCTTATAACATTGTTTTCACATCATTTCTGCTTCAGTGTTTTTTTTTTTTTTAATCTAGCTTCAAGATTGAAACATATTTTTTAAAAGTGGTTTGAATGGCACTTGAGCTGTGTGTGACGTACATTAGTTTTGATGGGGTTTTTCGCATGCTATGGCGGTTAAGTTATGATTATATTATGTTTCAGGTACTAAGGTTGCAATCTTATCTAAGATGAACAGTCAAAATCCTGATGATCATGTAAGCCAGCTAAAACAACTCTTCGTCTTGAACCAATAAATTAAGTAATTTCCAGTCTCCCTCGCTTGAATTTTCATTCTTTTTTCTTCTTCTTAAACTTAGGAGGACACAACGGTTGTGGGATTTGAAGTACCTGTATCGCCAGTTTCAAGTTACAACAATATGTATTCCGCAACTGAAGATGAGACAAGAGATCCTCCAGCAGTACCGCCACACCTTCAACACTCTCTATTAGGCAATCCGGGTAGCATGGAACTGGCTTATGCGCCACAAAATGTCGTCCTAAACCACCTCTATATCGAAAACCGAGACGCCCCAAGATCTGTTGTAGCACTCGGTTTTTCGCATCGGTTCAGATCTAAGTTTGTCACAGTAGTGATATACAAGCCTGTCCAAAGAAGAGGTAACGCCAATGTTTAAATGATGATGCCTCTTTTTAAGTAGTGTTGGGAACTTGCTTCTTTATGGATTGAATTCGGTATACAAAACCATCTACTCCAGACTGAATTTTCTTCTTCTCTTACCGATTCGATTTAGACGGTTTCTAGGTAATTCGATTGAAATCATCATCTTGTTCGAAGTTTATATAAAATCTACTTGCACTTTTAGGGCCAAGAAAGCTGTTAGACTTGGGCATTGTTTGTTTGTAATAACTCCCTTTGGTTAAACGAGCCCACATATCAGTATTGAAGTTCTGTACTTGCTCATATTTAAATGTTCCATAAATTATTTAAATCTTTCAAAACTTCTGTCTGATAAGTAACAAATGTCTCTAAATTTGGATAGAAATGGTTTTTGTTGGGGTCATTGGATCATTGCAACTATGTTTGAATGTAACTAATGAGTTATGGATATTAAAAGCTATGCTTGTGATAAGATAGTCTTACTCTTTAACCATTCCGCCGGCATTGGAAAAATTCTTTGTTTTAATTTTTTTTTTATATATCTTACAAAAATCATAAACTATTTTTAAGTTATTATATATATGAAACTAACATTAATATTTTCAAAATTTATCAAACATATCTTATGAATTATAACATTGAGAAACAAAACAAAATAATTAATAGAGAATAAAAAAAAATTGTATTTGGATTGGACATTGCTTAGCTAATAATTTTTTAACCATATTTTAACTTAAATATAAAAGAGAAATTGTTAAAAATACCCTTTTTTCAATACCCCTTTTCAAAAATGCCCCATTTGAGAGTCCATTTTTAAGTTTGCCCTCTTTTAATTTTTAATGACCATTTTACCTTTTTTTTTTTTTTTGAGCACCAACTAAACTTTCATTACTTAAGCGATCGAGCCAAATACAAGTTTTTACAAGTGTTTTGGCGGGAAAAATTGCGGGATCACTTTTTCCGCCAAAAAATATTTTGTATTTTGTGGACCTAATTTTGTTATATTTTCTTATATATTTGTGATATCTTTTATTAAAAGAAGGGTAATTTAGTCATTTTGTACATAAAAAGGGGTATTTTTAAAAATGGACAGCCAAAGGGGGCATTTTTGAAAAGGGGTATTGAAAAAGGGGTATTTTTGTGAGTCTCCCAATAAAAAAACTGAGTTTATAGAAACCATAAACTAAAACCAAATTCGAATATATAAGAAAAACTCAAAATTTAACAAATAAATCAAATAATGGAAAAACCAAATATGAGAAAAGAGCTTATGGTCTAGTGGCGAACCTAAATCACGTCCAAAGGATTGTGTGGCCTAAGTGACTAAGTCTCCTAGTCCAATACATTGGAGAGGGGAGGAGATTAATTTATCCATTTCGATCCACGACACACGAAGATATACGGATTTCAACCCCGAAATTCGCAAATCTCAATATATATTTATTCTAACCAAATTAAAGTATTAATGATTTGATCTGCAATCTGACTACATTGTCCGTTTTTCTTATATTTTGTAAAGTGATTCGTTTTTGTCGAGTTTTACTAGGTTTAGATAGATAAATATAAATCTGGTTTGAAAGGTATATTCGGATTGGATTACTGTCTGAGTTATGGGTACACCGGTCAAAATTTAACAACACATCCAATAAAGATTTTGAACTTAAAACATCTTCTTTATTTGAACTGTCTTGCCGGTAAAAGTTATTATGCGAATGTCTAAATCTATTTTTGAATGCGGTTTAATTTAAAATCTCATAGAACTAGATTGTAACTTCAAAATGATTCTTGAACACGAGTGTGACTCGCCAAGTGCATACCAAATTTCAGATCATCTCATATGTCATATGTCCAACTCCAAACTTGAAATTAAGCCACACTTATTTTCTCAAAAAAATTTCAAAACTATGATTTACTAAAATTGGATTCTCTGGCTATTTTTGGTATAGCTATGCTAGGGTTAGTACAATGTTATTATGCGTTCTCTGCTAAAAGTAAAAAACAGCTATCTTGTCAAAACAAAAATAAATAAAAAGTTTCTTAACCAACACACGAAATAGATAAATGCTATAAAATTAACATATATCACTATCAAATCATATATCGTAGGTCCATAATCTTTCTTTTTTTAACTCATGTGAGTCTTTTTTAATTCAATAATTTTGTCGTGCTCATTGTCTTTTTCCACTAAATCCTAGTTTTTGTAGTCTTCTCTTCTGCAATATATTTTTAAAATCTTTCTAAACTTCTATGTCCGATAAGTAACAAATGAGTTTAAAATTGGATTTAAATGGTTTTTGTTGGGTCATCAGATCATTGTAGATATGTTTGAATTAAAATAATGAGTTATGGATATTAAAAGCTATGCTTGTGATAAGATAGTCTTACTCTTAACCATTCCGCCGGCATTGGAAAAATTCTTTGTTTAAATTTTTTTTTTATAGATCTTACAACAATCATAAACTATTTTAAGTTGACGATATTATATATATGAAACTAACATTAATATTCTAACAAGTTATCAAACATATATTATGAATTATATCATTGAGAAACAAAACAAAATAATTAATAAAGAATAAAAAAAATTGTATTTGGATTGGACATTGCTTAGCTAATAATTTTTTAACCATATTTTAACTTAGATAAAAAAACTGAGTTTATAGAAACCATAACTAAAACAAAATTCGAATATATAAAAAAAAACTCAAAATTTAACAAATAAATTAAATAATGGAAAAAAACCAAATATGAGAAAAGAGCTTATGGTCTAGTGGCGAACCTAAATCCCGTCCAAAGGATTGTGTAACCTAAGTGACTAAGTCTCCTAGTTCAATACATTGGAGAGGGGAGGAGATCAATTTATCCGTTTCGATCCACGGCACACGAAAATATACGGATTTCAACCCCGAAATTCGCGAATCTCGATATATATTAATTCCAACCAAATTAACGTATTAATGATTTAATCAGCAATGTGATTACGTTGTCCGTTTTTTTTTTTATTTTGTAAAGTGATTCATTTTTGTCGAGTTTTACTAGGTTTAGATAGATAAATAAAAATCTGGTTTGAAAGGTATATTTGGATTGGATTACCGTCTGAGTTATGGGTACACCGAACAAAATTTAACAACACATCCAATAAAGATTTTGACCTTAAAACATCTTCTTTCTTTGAACTGTCTGGCCGGTAAAATTAAGTTGTTATGCGAATGTCTAAATCTATTTTTGAATGCGGTTTAAAATCTCGTAGAACTAGATTGTAACTCCAAAATGATTCTTGAACACGAGTGTGACTTGCCAAGCGCAGACCAAATTTCAGATCATATCATATGTCCAAAACTCCAAACTTGAAAGCCACACTTATTTTCTCAAAACCTGTTCAAAACTATGATTTACTAAAATTGGATTCTCTGGCTATTTTTGGTATAGCTATGCTAGGGTTAGTACAATGTTATTATGCATTCTCTGCTAAAAGTAAAAACAGCTATCTTGTCAAAACAAAAATAAATAAAAAGTTTCTTAACCAACACACGAAATAGATAAATGCTATAAAATTAACATATATCACTATCAAATCATATATCGTAGGTCAATAATCTTTTTTTTTTTTTTTAACTCATGTGAGTCTTTTTTAATTCAATAATTTTGCCGTGCTCATTGTCTTTTTCCACTAAATCCTAGTTTTTGTAGTCTTCTCTTTTGCAATATATTTTTTTAAAACAACTTATATTTTTGGAAATTTGAACTCTAAAATATAGAAAAAGTCTTAAAAAGTGGCATATATCTTGTGCACCTTTAAAACTGACACTAAATTACTCGATCTAGTGTAATTTTTTCATAAGAGATTTTTTTTTTTTTTTTTTTTTTCATAAGAGATTTTCTTTTGTCATCTATATATATACTTTGTTTGAAAGTAAAAAAATACAAAAAAGTGTCTTTCATTTGATATGTTGAGACAGAGCAAGCCAATGAGGATTCGAAACGTTGTAATTAGTACTCATAGTTGGCTGATTTTGTCTATCGACATAATGTGTTGCTCCCCTCATTATGAGATTCCATTAGTACAATTTTTTTTTCTGCGCATCAAAACATTTCTATTAATCTTTTTTTTTTCTCTTTCTCATCGAATTTGGTGATAGGTTAAATCGAATATCCGGAGACGAAAAAGCAATGATTTATTCTATTATTATTATATATATTTCAATTTCATATCGAATTGGAAAAGTAAAAGAAAGTGAAGAAGAGGGGACCAGACAGGAACTGGGGTGATAGAGTTTGGTCCATGGCTCTGTCCTTGAGCCCATTGGTCACGTGGCGAGGAGTGTCTTACTGGTGCACTTTTATGAAATAACCATGAGTGTCACGTGACGTACCACTGGGGCTATTGGAGTATTGGTCCACCTCAACCTCATTGGAGCCATGTCATTACATTTCTCTGTCTAGTTTTCTCTGAATAAAAAGTTTTATAAATAACAAGTTTTTGTGGGAAAAAAAAAGGAATTAGCTTAGAAAACTAACAAAATACAATCTCATTTTGTATTAGATAAGCTCGAACCAGATCTATCAAGTAAATAATCAAAACTTTCGTGGATTCATTTTATAAATACTTCAATCGGGTGTAAAACACATTTGGCAAATTATATTGAGATGATTAAACTTGGACATGAATCTTGACTCTTCTAGCTTTCCACATAATCCAAGATTTATCAATTATGCATTTGTGGTATGTTTAGGATTTAAACTTGGGACTTGTCGTATTTTTCAGAGTAATTCAGAGTGATTTATAAACATATATAGTTTTTTATAGTAATATATTTTTTTTCTTCGGATTAGTCTTTCTCTGTTCATGGCTTTTGTGTTTGGTATATGCAGAAAGTTTCAAAAGATTTTACAATTATAAAAATGTCTCAATTAGGTGCAAATAAAGGCATGTTTGTGGTGATTCGTATGCAACCTAGCTATAAAGATTTTTGTAATCGTCTCAAGGTGTGTTCAACAAGCAAGCGAATAACTAAGAGGGAATTCATTATAGACAACAAACAAGAATCTCTAGTTAAAAGAAGGTTATAAAAATTCAAAAAAGATTCATGCTTCCACAAAACTATAAGACCGCGATTTCTACGACATGGCAAAACTGAATAATCGCAATAGATAATGATAAAACCAAAAATAAAATACAACAACCGATACCAATATTTGTT